ACCGATTGTACAGCAGCGTTATACGCATTACCGTTCACTGACAAGCTGATATCCCGCCGTCTCCACAGATGGCTGAGTCTGGAAAGTAAAGTGAGTTTTGTTGATACGCGATATGACCACCATAAGTGACACAGTTACCAAGGTAAGTGAGTCGATCCATAAATTCCAGTGGCTGTTCGGTGATAGCTGAAACTGGTGGCGTATCGGTCCAGTCTTACAGTACTTTGCACGTTGAAGTTGCAAAGCATAGGCCAAAGCGTGCAGCGCTACGTGTCAGCCTATCTAACCAGAAGTGTCTGCAGCTTACTGGTTCTCCAGAAAGAATAGCAGAGCCATACATGCGACTTGCCGAACAACCTCATCGTGATGCCAGCTGGGCGGTCTAGGTATTTCCCGTTCCAGCGAATGGTTCGGCGGCAGTGTTACAGGACGTGGTGGGTTTATACCTGGCAAGTGTTCTTGCTATAAAAAGCCACATGTATCTGCCTAACGACACTGCGACGTGGCGGATATGACTTGCCACTAAATAGTCACTGCACCTTATCTTTTTCGGAGACATTGTACATCGACAAGCGGTTCAAGCATCGAATTCTGCCTATGATTTCGACAGTGTTGGGCCTCTGGTATGGTTTTTTTGCCATCCGAAAGGCGCATGAACTGAATGTTTAGTCACCGGGTCCCAACAGTTGTGAAACTCTTACTCTGCTGCCCTGTAGGTTATGCCTTTTGGCCAAAAGCTTGGGTCGTGGTCCCCTAAGTCAACGCAACTAATCCGGCCTACGTGACCGGTTAGTATCTCGCCTACTGACGAACCATGGAACCCACACAGCTACGTTCACTCCCGCTCTCATTATGATGCCAACATTACAAACACATGCCACCAATTTACCTATCCTTCTCTTGTATCATTCATCCCCATTGTTATTTGATTCTTCAAAGGTGAAAAACCTCACCTACGCCGATGAAGTTGTCCTCTTACCATCCGTCAACTGAACTACATAGTCTTCGATAAAGAGCTGCCAATCTCGAAGTCTGCCATATTTGATAATGCAACCTGGAATACAGTTCAAACTGGCAACCTTTAACGTGCGCACACTATTGCAGATCAGGCAACAAGCTGGAGACCTTTGCAGTCGATGTATGCTGTTTGAGTGAACCTCGACTCCAGGATTCCAACATAGTCTACCAGCTGTCATCATAAGTCCAAACACATCTGCTTTTATCTTCGCCTTTCTAGTGACACTGTCTGCCGCATCTGAGCAAGACAGCATTGGGTCGCGTTCAGTCCTAGAGCTGAGGCCGCCCTCTTTAACTGGATTCCAAACAGCATTCACCTTTGTGCTATGAGGCTCCGTGGCTCTTGCACAGTTACCAGACATCGAGCAGACAAGCGCTCACTGAGTACAGCTCGGATACAGTGAAGGACCAGTTCTATCAACATCTTCATGAACTGATCCTAAGGGCGCCTGAAACATATATCATCAATATGGCAGGAAACTTAAACGCAAGTTATCGGTTGACTCATCATCATCATCAATACAGTTTGCTAATGGTTAGGAACACACCTCAGCTAATAGGCCACAATAAAAAATAAGACACTACAAAATGATTCAAAAGCAAGTAATATAGTCGGCCGGTAACCGAGTGGTCTGCGCGTTTGGTTTGCAACCATAAGGTCACCGGCTCGGATCCGCGTAGGGGTGGGTGTCCTCGCGGTACACTCAGCCTGCGCGCGACTGTTGGTGGTCGCGCGGCAGCGAAGCGCCGTTACGGCGTACAGCTGACACATTATCATTTTATTATTAATATAGTGTTAAATATTATATTGTGCGTTTTGTATGACACCGGAATTGGAGGTGGGTGGAAAAAGAAACTCAACACAAACGCCACTGGGGTCGGCTCTTCGCCATAGCAGCAAGTGTGTCCAACCAAACGTGTTCGTCATCCTCATGACCCCAGCCAGACCGTCGGGATGCACCAACCGACGCAAGCTTCAAAGTGAGAGAATTCATTTCTCTTGACCAAGTCATCGCTTGGAATCCCCCTTCCTCCTCCAACCGCACACTCGGCGCGCAAACAATGCACGTCGCGGGAGTCAGTGTGCTGGCATGCGCAACACGTCGCCCAGCCATCGGAACCTGGTGCGTGATATCACCGTCCTGAGCGGTTCACTCAATCTTCCTGCACCAGATACGCGACGTTGAACACGTTCATCGCTCCCGCGGTGCTCCCACCAGACATGAGCTAAGTTGCGAAGGCAGTGATGATCAAACGTGACTAGCCTCTTTATGCCTGTCGGCCTGATGGGCCAGGTTTCACAACCGTATAAAAGGGTTGAACGGACGGCTGCATTATAAACTCTGCCCTTCACGGCTATAGGGATGTCGCGTCTGCACCACAAATGGCGGAGATTGGCAAAAGCATCTTGAGCTTTTTCTATACGGTTCGTAACCTCATCTTCGATCCCACAGGTGCTACTATAGCTGCCCAGGTGCTTGAGTTTCTGAACGACTTTTAGCTAATCACCACCAAGGGATGGGTCCCTGCTAATCTTGGAAGACTGTATTTCGCTGAAGCAAAGCATAGTACAAAACGACTGACAGCCAGTGCTACTCTGTCTAGTGCTGCTTGGCACATTTCGGTGCTGTCACAGATTAGGGTAATATCGTCCGCATACTACAAGTCAAGAGGTCGCTAACCAGAAAGTCCAGTGAACGCTGTTTCCATGACTTCGTCAACTGCGAAGTTAAATAGGAAAGGTGACGGCGGGCATCCTTGTCTCACATTGCTGGAGATACTGAATGACGGAGACAGTTCGTCATAAACCCTCACTTTGCCCGAAGTATGTGTGTAAATCGCTCTGAGAATGTTTACGTATTTCTCGGGCACATCCATCCACCGAATCGAAGGCACCTTTGATGTCGAGAATCACGACAACGGTGGGTCGCCAATAAACATGGCGGTGCTCCAACAATTGACGCAAAGTGAAGATGTGGTCGATGCAGCCCCGACCTCAACGAAACCCGGTTTGCTCTTCACGAATCTGGCTTTCATGAGTGCCAGTCAGTCTGTGGAAAACGACAGACGCAAGCAATCTAGAGGTAACTGAGATCAGACTGACCCCCTTGAACAGGAGCCTCCACTGAAAATTGGGACTATGAAGGAGTGGCTCCAGTCTGTCGGGACAGTTTCCTGCTCCCAAAGTTTCACTAGCAATTCAATTAAATCATCTACTAGAGCAGGTCCCGCAAATTTGAAGAGCGCTGAAGGAATCTATCTGCCCCTGCGGCTTTATGCAATTTCAACAGTCTGATCTTACGTTCGACTTCTGAGCGTGAGGGCGAATCCAGGAAGACGGCGCAGGGAGTAAGGCACTCAATGCCCGAAAAAGATAGCGATAACTCAGATTGGTTAAACTGCCTTGCAAAGTGTTTGATCCAACGCTCCAAGCGTTTTGACAGGCTGTGGATCAGCGGTCCGCTCTCGTCGCGTATCGTCTCGCTAACACCAGGTCTCCTGCTGCCCGTTTCCCGTATCAGACGGATTAACTTACGATGATTACCAATGGCAGGGGCTGTTTCCATTTCCGACGCACGATGAGACTACCAGACTCCGCGATCTCTCTTCAGGCTAGCACGCAGTTTCGCGCTGAGACCATTGCGAGTCTCATTGTATTCGCTTCCAGCCGGAACACGTTGGCGAGCATCCGTATGTTCCAGAGAGTGTGCAGAGACTCAATGTCTAGTTTGGCAATTTGATTTGCCACATAAATACATGCCTGCTGATAGTAAAGTTTGACGAATATGCGACCGGTGATCTTCGACGGTGTTCAGTAGGCGCTTACTCAGCTCGGATGCCAGCGTACTTTTATACGCATTCAGAACACCAGGCTTCGCCAGCAAGCTCACATCCATCTTGCGTACGTCCACCGAAACGCGCGCGAAGGTCAGCATACAGCAGAACGTGATCGGAGTTCACACTCGTGCTCCAAATCGAGCGACAGTTTTGGATACAGCCTCTCCAGCGGTACCTAATCGCGATATGATCGAATTGCGTCCATGGCTGGTGGCGCCAAGTCACTCTTCTGAGGGTGCTATATCGAAAGTTGGTGTTCGCCAGAAAGAGACGAGCCTCTTCACACGGCTGTAGCAACCGCTCACCGTTATCATTACAGGAGCCTACACCATGTTGGCCGCCCAGATGAAGAGGACAATTTTCCGACTTGGGCGTTTAGATCACCAACCAACACCACGGTATCCGTGCATCTTCTGTAATGAAGCAGCGCGTGAAGTTGCTGATAGAAATCATCTTTCACCGAATCAGTGCTGCAGTTTGTGGGGGCGTAGACCGCGATGACAAACAAGCAACGTTTGTCCCCGCGCGACTTCGAAGCTTGAAACGAACCAGCTAACCTAACGGCCACATCCGAATGTTGACTGGGATCCAATCGATCAGGGCAGCTTCAACTTAGGGACTCGAAATAATGCCGACGCTAGCTTGACCGGTATTTGAAGCTGCATCATCGCCAGACAGGTGCAATGAAAATGTGCCGCCAGTGTCGCATGTGGGGGATCGCTGATTAAGCACGGAGCTCGAATCTTGCAGGCGGCGGTTTTCTTATAAACAGCAAATATCAACCGATAGGGTCTCTAGTGTGCGGGCAAGTACTG